GGAACGCCAATCTCTCGCCATCTTCATATCCCTAACCTTAAACCCATTTCTTTCCCAACAATCGATAATTCTAGCCATCTTTGCATTTGTCCACATTTTTATCTTTCTTTTCTGATATCCTCTCATCCATTCCCAGCGTACCCCATTTATTTCCATTTAATCTTTCTTTTCTGATATCCTCTCATTTTATTTCAACATGATCCAATCACTTCCATGCACAACCAAATTCCTCCAACACCCTTGGCATCGCCATAGTCCATTCACATCAAATCTCTTTAATGGCTTCGGAGTATACCCCAATTATTTCCCATTCGTGTCAGCCATTTCCCAATGTACCCCATTTATTTCCCAGTCCTGTCAGCCATTTCCCAGTGTAACCCATTTATTTCTTATTCCTGTCAGCCATTTCCCAGTGTACCCCATTTATTTTCTATTCCTGTCAGCCATTTCCCAGTGTACCCCATTTGATTCCCATTCCTGTCAGCCATTTCCCAGTGTACCCCATTTATTTCCCATTCCTGTCAGCCATTTCCCAGTGAACCCCATTTATTTCCCATTCCTGTCAGCCATTTCCCAGTGTACCCCATTTGTTTCCTATTCCTGTCAGCCATTTCCCAGTGTACCCTATTATTTCCCAGTCCTGTCAGCCATTTCCCAGTGTACCCCATTTGTTTCCTATTCCTGTCAGCCATTTCCCAGTGTACCCCATTTATTTCCTATTCCTGTCAGCCATTTCCCAGTGTACCCCCTTTATTTCCTATTCCTGTCAGCCATTTCCCAGTGTACCCCATTTACTTCCCATTCCTGTCAGCCATTTCCCAGTGTACCCCATTTATTTCCCATTCCTGTCAGCCATTTCCCAGTGTACCCCATTTGTTTCCTATTCCTGTCAGCCATTTCCCATTGTACCCCATTTATTTCCTATTCCTGCCAGCCATTTCCCAGTGTACCCCATTATTTCCCAGTCCTGTCAGCCATTTCCCAGTGTACCCCATTTATTTCCCATTTCGGTCAGCCATTTCCCAGTGTACCCCATTTGTTCCCAGTGTACCCCATTTGTTTCCTATTCCTGTCAGCCATTTCCCATTGTACCCCATTTATTTCCTATTCCTGTCAGCCATTTCCCATTGTACCCCATTTATTTACTTTTCCTGTCAGCCATTTCCCAGTGTACCCTATTATTTCCCAGTCCTGTCAGCCATTTCCCAGTGTACCCCATTTGTTTACCATTCCTGTCAGCCATTTCCCAGTGTACCCCATTTGTTTACCATTCCTGTCAGCCATTTCCCAGTGTACCCCATTTATTTCCTATTCCTGTCAGCCATTCCCCAGTGTACCCCATTTATTTCCTATTCCTGTCAGCCATTTCCCAGTGTTCCCCATTTATTTCCCAGTCCTGTCAGCCATTTCCCATTGTACCCCATTTATTTACTATTCCTGTCAGCCATTTCCCATTGTACCCCATTTATTTCCTATTCCTGTCAGCCATTTCCCATTAAAATTCCCATTTATTTCCCATTCCTGGCCAGCTATTTCCCAGTAAAATTTATTTGTTTCATTCCTGCGCTATTTCCAAAAAATTATTTGCTTCCTATCTATGTCAGCTTATATCCCAGTGTAAAATTTATTTATTTCCTAGTATTCCTGTCAGCTATTTCCCAGTAAAAATTTATTTATTTCTATTCCTCTGTCAGCCATTTCCCAGTGTGTACCCCATTATTTCCCAGTCCTATTAGCTATTTCCCAGTGCACCTCATTTATTTCCCATTCTGGTCAGCCATTTCCTGTGTACCCCATTTATTTCCAATTCCGCTCGCCATTTATTGTACCGCATGTATTTTATTCCTGCCAGCCATTTCCCAGTGTACCCCATTATTTCCCAGTCCTGTCAGCCATTTCCCAGTGTACCCCATTTATTTCCCATTCCGGTCAGCAATTTCCCAGTGTACCCCATTTGTTCCCAGTCCTGTCAGCCCTTTCCCAGTGTAAATTTATTTGTTTCTATTCCTGTCAGCTATTTCCCATTGTACCCTATATTTATTTTATTCCTGTCAGCCATTTCCATTAAAATTCTATTTATTTCTTTTCCTGTCAGCCATTTCCCCAGTGTATTCCTATTATTTCCAGTCCTGTCAGTTTATTTCCTCTAGTAAAATTTATTTGTTTAATATTCCTGTCAGCTATTTCTACAGTAAAATTTATTTGTTTACTCATTCCTGTCAGCCATTTATAAAAATTTATTTATTTCCTATTCCTGTCAGGCATTCCCCAGTGTACCCCATTTATTTCCTATTCCTGTCAGCCATTTCCCAGTGTTCCCCATTTATTTCCCAGTCCTGTCAGCCATTTCCCATTGTACCCCATTTATTTCCTATTCCTGTCAGCCATTTCCCATTGTACCCCATTTATTTCCTATTCCTGTCAGCCATTTCCCATTGTACCCCATTTATTTCCCATTCCTGTCAGCCATTTCCCAGTGTTCCCCATTTCTTTCCAATTCCTGCCAGCCATTTCCCAGTGTACCCCATTTGTTTCCCATTCATGTCAGCCATATCCCAGTGTACCCCATTTATTTCCTATTCCTGTCAGCCATTTCCCAGTGTACCCCATTTATTTCCTATTCCTGTCAGCCATTTCCCAGTGTACCCCATTATTTCCCAGTCCTGTCAGCCATTTCCCAGTGCACCCCATTTATTTCCCATTCTGGTCAGCCATTTCCCAGTGTACCCCATTTGTTTCCTATTCCTGTCAGCCATTTCCCATTGTACCCCATTTATTTCCTATTCCTGCCAGCCATTTCCCAGTGTACCCCATTATTTCCCAGTCCTGTCAGCCATTTCCCAGTGTACCCCATTTATTTCCCATTCCGGTCAGCAATTTCCCAGTGTACCCCATTTGTTCCCAGTCCTGTCAGCCATTTCCCAGTGTACCCCATTTGTTTCCTATTCCTGTCGGCCATTTCCCATTGTACCCCATTTATTTCCTTTTCCTGTCAGCCATTTCCCAGTGTACCCTATTATTTCCCAGTCCTGTCAGCCATTTCCCAGTGTACCCCATTTGTTTACCATTCCTGTCAGCCATTTCCCAGTGTACCCCATTTGTTTCCCATTCCTGTCAGTCATTTCCCAGTGTACCCCATTTGTTTCCCATTCCTGTCAGCCATTTCCCAGTGTACCCCATTTATTTCCTATTCTTGTCAGCCATTTCCCAGTGTACCCCATTTATTTCCTATTCCTGTCAGCCATTTCCCAGTGTACCCCATTTATTTCCCATTCTTGTCAGCCATTTCCCAGTGTACCCCATTTGTTTCCTATTCCTGTCAGCCATTTCCCATTGTACCCCATTTATTTCCAATTCCTGCCAGCCATTTCCCAGTGTACCCCATTATTTCCCAGTCCTGTCAGCCATTTCCCAGTGTACCCCATTTATTTCCCATTCCGGTCAGCCATTTCCCAGTGTACCCCATTTGTTTCCTATTCCTGTCAGCCA